CAAAATAAGCACTCTTGCGTTCGGTGTTTCTCAATCGGTTCTCTCATGAAAGTGATTTTTCAAGAGGGAGATTTTAGAGCAAAAGCTCTCTTGTGAGATAGAGGAAAATTTGGATTGAAGATCTGAAAGTTTTGTGATTATAGAATGTTTGTATTAGCGTGTATCTACGTAATTTTGGTTCATAGTGATTTTTTTTTAGTGTGGCTTCATGATTTTTTATCATTCTCGAGTTTTTCCACATAAATTTTAATGTAACTTTCTGATATTATTTTGTTGTGTTTCTACTCGAGTTTTTTTTGTTGTTGATTTTTTTAATTGCTTTGATTTTATTCCGCATTATGGTTTTGATTTCTAATTGATCGAAGCCCAAGGTTTATAGTTTTATCATAGCATGACGCACTTAAAGTAGTTGTAATTATTGAACATTGTGTAGATCTAAATTGGTCATTTTGCCTCAAAGCAGCAATTGTTGTGGCAATCAAGATTGTCATGACATTCTCAGTCACCGCACTAATCTCAATCATCATTACGATTGCGGTTGTCAAAATGAGACATGTCCAGAAAGCCCTAGCAAGGCTTTTCGATATACACACAAATCAAACAGCAACTTCTGCTTCATTAGTTCATCTCAATAAAACAAGAGAGAAAAGGGAAGCATCAAAACCACCTCCACACTGAAATTCTTTGAGACCTTCAAGAAGAGATCGGCGATAGTCTTAGGTGCATACATAGGCACACTTAATAATGTCTCTCTTAAGCAAAAAGTGAGAACATACTTGGCAACCGGCTTGTTATGATTCGCAAACCTCATGGGTTGCCCTAGTGAAGCCACAATATGATCCTTAAGAGACACATTCTCAATTTTCCTAATCATGAGAATAAGTGAGGTTTTAATCACCATCTAAGAGTATAAAAAGTGGGAGACAATATAAAATAATTTGTCAAAGGTGTGAATGTTGACAGAGAGAAGCCGGGTGAACCATCAAAGTGCCCAATATTTATTCATTAAGAACACTGGACGGTGAATGACATCAAAGGCAATGATAAGTCTAATTACATCATTGAACCCTTTCAAATGATAGATGAGGTCAATTGCCCCAGTATAATACTAGATCGAACAAGCTTGAACATTGGATTAGCTCCTCCAAAAACTTCACAAAAAAAAAGAAAAAGAAGAAAGAGATGCCAATAATAATAAGATAATGAAGATTGTTGAGAACTCCTCTCACTATAACCTCTCTTATTGATTGGAGATGATCAACTGATTAGAAGTAAGAAACAAAGAGGTGACGCGAACGGTGTGGTCAGAGTGTGTAAGAGATCAATAATTTAATATCTCAATGACGTATATTATGGTGACAACAGTCAACCCAACAAAGTTTTAGCTCTTCCCGTGTGATTTGATAACTCGTAGTTGAGGTTGTCAATCAGCACAAAGTAAGCACTGGATGAAAATCTCTAGGGGTCTCTACTTGACAATCCTTTATACTAGTTTTCCTTCAAGCTTAATGATCTCAACAAAATAACCAAAAGATGGGAATGATAGATTTTTTTAGTATGATAAGTAGAATTTTCAAAAAAAAAAAGTGCATTTTAAAGTGAAGAAGAGAGCTGCCAAGATTTTGGAAAAAGAAGAAAATGGATCGAGAGAGAGAGTGTGTGTGTGATTATGGAAAATGAGATCATACACAAAGTACATGCATGATCAATAGAGCTTCAAAATATACATCGGGTTGTTGATGCCCTCAAACACTAAAAAACGAGAAAAGAACAAGCTTTGATAGGATTGAATAAATTGAAGTAACAAAATAAAAGATAAATGAAAACTGCAAAACAATTGACTGAAATTAGTAGTTATCACCACTTATTTGACTGAGGAGAAATTGAGGGGAAAAAATTTTATGGCTAATGACAATTTCAACTTTTATGGCATGCCAGAATAGTGATAGCCCAACAAATTTTTTTTATTATGTTTTGTGAGCAATCTAAATGGAAAAATAAATTTATTTACGTCTACTATGTAAATCTAGTGACAGAAATGTGACTTTGGGTGATCAAATTATTAAAAGGTGTGAACGATTTAGATATCTTGGGTCTGTTGTCCAAAACGATGGTGATATAGATGGGAATGTTAATAGTAGAATTTAAGTTGGTTGGTTAAAGTGGAGGAATGCTTCGGGTCTTTTGTGTGATAGAAAAGTACCGCTAAGACTGAAAGGAAATTTTTATAAAACGGTGGTGAGGCTTGCAATGCTCTATGGCGCTGAATGTTGGCCTTCAAAAGAGAAGCATAATAATAAGTTAAGTGTTGCCGAGATGAGAATGATTAGGTGGATGAGTGGCTTTACACTTAGAGACAAAATGCGGAATGAATATATTCGTGATAGGGTTGGTGTAGCTCCTGTGACAGACAAAATTAGAGAAAGTCGTCTTAGATGGTTTGGTCATATTAAACGTCGACCATTAGATGATCCGATTAGGAGAGTAGATGCTTTAGATTCGACTTGTGTTAAGAAAAACAGAGGTAGACCTAGGAAGACTTGGCTTATTATATTAAAAATGATCTTAATTTACTAGAACTAAATGAAAATATGACACTAAATATGACGCAATGGGGAAAAAGGATTCAGGTAGCCGACCCCACGTAGTGAGATTAAGGCTTTGTTGTTGTTGTTGTACTATGTAAATCTATCGAGCAAACATAAAATATGAAAATTATGAAGTAAAATCTTTTTACATTCCCTCCAATTCCATAAAACCAAAACAACAACAAAGGCTTAATCCCACTATGTGGGGTCGGCTACATGGCTACATGAATCTTTATTTAGTGTCATATTTTCATTTAGTTCTAATAAATTAAATTCCATAATGTTATAAGTATGCATTCTACATGTTGAAAGGATTCATAGGCATTAACCAGTGCACTTTAACAATTAAGTACTTTGAGATGGCGGAACCAACAGTAGTTGATAGCATGATGAATGAATAAATTGAACATCCCAGGTTGGCAGGTTGTTCAAACTTCGGTAAAAAAACAATAAAATAGCAAAACTTCTAGTAATGATAGATGCCAATAAAAGTGTAACATTGAGTACAAATAAACTGGTAGAGATAATAATTTTGGCATTGATGTATGGCAAAACTAGGAAATATTGACTGAGAAATAATTCTATTAGAGAAAATGTGCGATTGACATAAACTGTAGGACTGCTAGTTAAAACTATTTTTTGACCATTTAGGTATGTATAGTGAATAGTAGAAAATGCAAAAACAATAGGATTGATAAAATTTTATGTTGGGTGATAAATAGAATAAACAAGGTAGATTGAAGAAAACATTAATAGCAACCAAGCATGTAAATCCTATATTTGGACTTGACTGAATGGAATGTATAAAAATAGTACTCAGTGGAGGCTCAACGGATACTCGTCCAGTGCCTCCACGTGGCTCACTTTGCTAATGAGAATTCAACTAAATCGGACGCACCAACTCAAAAGCTAAAAGTAACTTGCCCAAATCTAAAGGGGTTGTCAACCTAATTGGATTTGCTCTCTTCCTTAAGAGACTCACTTAGAATATAAGAAAGAGACATTTGAATCAAGAAAGTTGAGCAAATCTCGCCTAGCCTATTAGCAACTGCACAAGCATGCCCCGAGAACTCGCCCCTATCCAGCTAGCCATGTGTATCTATCCAGGGTCTCGATGAGAATATCCATGTGTCCTATAAAAGAGGTGATTGTTTGTTTGTTTAAATTTTTTGTATGGCTTTTTGAATATCGCTCATAACCTGATAAATAAAGAATCTAGAGAAAATTTTAGGGGAATCTAAAATATATTGTATTCTTTATTGTGGCAAATAAAATATTTGGAGCCTCTTTCTCTATCTCTCTCTTCATTGACCCAGTCTTACAAGTCCAGCTAGCAGTGCTTGAATATAGTCCACATATAGATTTGGATCAAAACATGGGAAAATATTTGTATGTGGATTGAACATCTAGCAACAAATGGGAAATAAGAATTCATAAACAACCCCCAAAGAGTTAGGATAAACCCAATGATGATACTAAACATGGATGGATTGAGAAACTATGACAGAGAAAGAGAGAGAGAAAGAGAGCAACGATGAACAAAAGCATTAAATTGGAAGGAAAAGGTTAGCCGGATTAGAATAAGTAATACGCACCAGTTGATGCAAAAAGTTTGCTACATTCTAAAGAAGTAATCCTCACCAGTTAATGCAAAAAGTTTGCTACACTTTAAAGAAGTAATACCCACCAGTTGATGTTAAATGCTTACACGTTTTCCAAATAAATACTATTGCTAGTAGAAGGAAAAAATGAAAAGCCTGGTAGATCACAAAGGCAGTAAGACTTATTTCAGTACGCCGTGTACGGCAGATAATACTCCGCGGATAAAAATGAACAACTAATACAAAGTTCAGAGCTTTCTTACAAAAATGATAGAAAATATAAATGGAAGATTGGCCAATCTACTGCACAATATAAAGCTTTCAGGAACATTAATAATGCTCGCCCTACAGTTAAGAATGATCTATACACCATGATCATCATCTCTTGCTTCAAAACTTTGCATAACAATATTTAAAAAGAATGAAGTAAAAAGCATAAACCATCTAGCAAAAACAATATCAAGAAAAAGGAGATCCAATCAATCAGTCTCAAGGAAATCATCCCCTGAAAACACAGAAAAAAATAATCAAACTCCCCTAAAGCCTCACAAACCAAAGAAAGGACAGCAAAACCATCAAAATCATAAGCCATGCCTCCAAATATCTATCCAAAACCATCCATCAAACATTAACAAAATCCATTCTTTAATTCTTCCAAACATATCAAAAGATTCACCAAAACAGAATCAGAAAAAGATGAAGATGAAGATGAAGACAGCAATATGGCAATACATAATAATCAATCCAATGAAAATGAAACAATAACCGGCGAAACCGAACTAACTTCGAAGGTGAGAAGAAAGAAAAATACCTGTTGAATAATATCAGTGGTGACCTGGTTCGGAGAAGCATAAGCTGCCATCATGGGCTGCATCTGCATCAGATGCTGCTGCATTCTCTCCCTAGCCCTCACTTAAAAATCTCTCACTCTCTCTCTCTCTCACTCTCACTCTCTCTCTCACTCTCACTCTCACTCACTCACAAGTCGGTCTTCTCAATGTCTCCTATCTCTCACCCTGCCCCCACGATCCTTCGAGCAGAGAGAGGAAAGATGATTACAGGGGGGGGAAACAATGAAAAAAGGAGGGTTTTTTGAGTGGATTCGGGGGTTTTTTTTAGTGTTTTCCCTCTGTGTGGTTGCTTTCAAGCACCGATAACCGACCCGGTGGCGTCGTGTCGGCATCTCCGCCTCAAGTTCCAAGATCGGAGCTTTGGTGCGGACGCGATTCCCAGAGAAGAGTGTGCTGCGAGCAAAGGAGGTAGGGTCACCGAGAGTGTGAACACCTCGATCCTTTGAGATTTTGTCTCCCTACATGAGTACTCACGTGCAGGGAAAGGAGACGAGGAGGGAGCTCGGAGCATCAAAGCAGGTGGGAGAAACTTTGCGCCTAAAGGCGACCACGCCGACCAGCTGAGCTCCGGACCGGACCATGGGGCGGCACGCACGACCCCTAAGGCTATCTTTGCACTTTTGTCCTTCCGAAACTTTTTAATTATTTACAAGTCTAATTTACATAAAAAGAGTTTCATGTAATGTGTGGCTTATGAGAGCATTAAACTTGGGGCATTTACATACACACCACTCATTTTCTGTGTAGTTGCATATCTAACACTAAAACTTTAACTATTACATTTATACAGCCTAAATTTTTCACATGGACAACTTAAATTCGTAAAGATCAAATATCATTGATGGATTTCTTTACACCTCTTTTAAACAAATTCATGTTGTTGAGCAACACTTTGATAAATGGCATCATATAGGTCAAACTTACTTTTATCTAATCCACATAGATTAATGTTTTTCAGCAATAATCCAACAAACATAATAAATAAATTAAATATTTATTATAGATTTCTTTTATCCTCTTTAGTATTAGGATAATGATATCATCAACATATTATTGTATGTCATTGATATATTTTATTTTCTTTTATAATACCCCTAGCAAGTATGATCGCAAGAAATCTTTAATTGAAAGCTAGTACTGAATACAAGTCATACTATAAAGATTTCATGGAGCAAATGTTTGAAATGGTCATGAACTTAACTTAGTTTTTTACTTGTCAAGAATGTGATTAAGTTGACCACAATTAGTTTATTAAGATCTGGAAAGTAAATCAAATTCTTAATTAGGACTCGAGGCACCCTCGAGCCACCCTTGGGACCCCTAAATTCTATGAATCCATAACTCATCTTATGGTTGTAAGCTCCACCCTGTGAACCTTAACTCGCTTTGAGACAAGATGACCTAATTGAAGGTACTTAACGCAATAGGGCTCGTTGTGTCAATTAAACTCAATTACTGTAGTGTTAGGCCTCCATAAACTTAACCGAGTTACATGCTATTAGAACTACGCTCGTGTTGAACTTTAAATCTCTAAATCTTAATATTAATCTACTTTGACTTACTATACCACCTTTTAAACCCTCTAAAATTTTTGAACAAAAACATTCGAGCCTACTATACTAAACCATGCTGGTTATTTTAAAATACTTGACTTAGGGTCTATTTGGGGCAGCTGCAGCTTATCCAGATAAACAGGTTATTCAGTTAAGCTGTTGATTAGCACCTAATTCTGATCAACTGGTTGGTTGGTTGTTTTGGGCAGCTGTTTAAAAATAGTTAATTGACAGTTGATTATGAATAAATGATCATTATGTCTCTGTCAAGTAATGTTGTTTGCAACAAAACTGTCATTACAATATATTTGATACTTAAGAAGAAAAAAAATCACTTCATAACAGATAAATAATTAAACAAATAAGTTGGTGGAACTAAACAAATAATTAAAGCTTAGTTTAATCTATTAATTGAAGTATTACTTTTTATTGTGAAGGATTTGATAAAGTAACTTAAATGAGTGTTTTTTTATAATCATAAAGTTGTGCCAAAAAAAAATGTTTTGAACCAGCTCTAAGCTACACCTTGGTGCCCACATCCTGGTGTCATATACTAATCTTAATTTTAATAGTTTTTATTTGACTTCTTTGTTTAGATGTGAGTGAACTTAGATTTACAATGGCTAGTAAATGTTATTTATAATGTACACAGCTTTTTATGGTTTCTATATTTAGCAGACCAAATAATCAATAATATGTCGCGTGTATAGGTTTGTTTTTAAAAAAAGCATGCAAGATTTTTTTAAATTTGTGTCAAAACATATAAGTCGTTTAATTTTTGTCACTTCACTCCCATCACAAACCAACTTCTACGTAAAATTAAGAAGAATGATGAGGAGATGAAGAAACCAGAAGCAAGTGTCACAAAGAAAAGCAATTAAGGGTTGAGCTAAAACAAAAGAACCTTGTGATCAGCTTCCAAATGGCGAAGCTTGTCAATTTGGGGAATGGAATCTAGGTCGAAGGGGCTTAGATCATCGACGTAGATGGATGAGTGCTTTCTCCGAGAAGGCTTCGAGTGGCGATTTGGTACTATGTCGTCGAAATACTCACGCGTCTCCTCCGCCCTCCTCGCTTCCTCCTCTGGTGGTAGATGCGAGTCACTTCCATCAGGCCTCTCTATTGTGCGACGGCGTGGGCAAAGAGGTGAGATCTTTACTCCAAACGTGGTCTGCGGAGTTCGACTCACAACTGGCGTTTAATAGAAATGGAATCGCGTGTATCCCGATAAGCTCCCCGAATAGAGATATCAAATGGCTGAGCCTTGTTTTGAAAACGCATAAGCTGATAATAAGCTACGCCAAATGGGCCCTTAGTCCTTGAACTCAAAATTGGGTTAATTATAATTAAATTGGATCTTTTTTATAGTTAACTCAAATATGACACGTCTAATAGAGGTTGTCGTGTGGGTTAAACTCACATGGAATTGACAAACTCAAAATAAATATAAATGTAATTCAAACTCAAATCACACAAATTAAAACCTAAATAAAAACTTAATACTATATTGGGTAAGTGAGTTGTTAAGTGTATAAAGTATGTAAAAATAATTTTGTATTTGTCTATATATTATGTTATTGTATAATTTTTATGTTGTTTTTGTTTATTGTTTTGTGAGATTTGAATTTGATAAATTCTTTATGGGATGTAAGATCTCGTATAATCCGTGATATAACACAATCTAGTATAAGAACCAGAAAGCCTCCTCTGTAAAGAGATACTGAGAGAGAGAAAAAAGGGTCCCCTATCTTTGCCCTCTCCCATAATAAACCACACCCGCCCCTCTTTTCCCAGATGACGGGAATCAATGAGGATAAGAATTCTGTCGAGGGGGAGGGCGACTCGATGTTGATGATGTGATGGGTGTAATTTTCTCGATCAGCGTGCTTGCCTCGAAAATTATTGAATTTCTTTATTATTGATTAGGTGTTACTTCCAATTGGATCTATGCACCTTGGACGATCGAACATGAAGTGTTCTTTTTATGATTGGATATGTTAATAAATAATAGAAAAGAAAAGTGATTGGTTTGATATGTTCGGGTGATCAGCGGTTTGGTTATTTAAGTAAAAAGGCCGAAGTTCGTGACTTGATATTTGAATATAAATTTAGTTCCCTGATTATCTCAACCCTTCGATTGGATGCTCGCAATACTTGATGAGAAGGATGAGGGAATGAAAAGAGGTTCCCTTCTAGTTCACAACTTCTCAAGACTTCAGAGATAAAGATAAAGTGGGTTCCATAAATGGATCTTCCCTGCGAGGGATTAGGTCTTATTTTCCTTTATTAGTCGCTCTATCAGCATTCCAAGGACTACTCTTCTCCTGATAGCATTCAGAATGCTTTTTATGCAGGGATTAGTTCTCGAGCGACAGTTTTGTAGCTTAACCTATTCATCCTTAAGCGCTCCATCTTGGGCATATAAAAAATCCACTTTGCTCCACTTATCTTTTTAATTGAACGCCGTTGTGAGTTCATTTTTTTTTTTGCATTTTCTCTTAAGATCGTTGTTTCTCTTTTACCCTTATCATTTATACTCTTATGTCACGTACGAGGGTTAGTTTGATGATTTTTGAAAGACAAGTACTAAAATATTTACTCATAGATGGTTATGATGATTGAACTTCCCTCATATTTATATAAGGGTGAAAAGGTATTGAGAGTCGATTTTATATCTTCTTGTTAGGGGAATTTTCTATATGTAGAAGAGGGTTACTAACACTATTGTATTATTTTCACTCGGTGGATGAGGGTGCAATTCTTATTCGTCATTGGGAAGGTGAGCAGATATATAAGAAAAAACATAGTCTAGTTTGCAAAAAGAAAAATCCATAAAGAGAAAGAAGAGGTTGGAAGAAGAAACGCTCCTGCAAATGTCTTCATTAAATTTGAACAATCCGACATATGTTCTTTTGTTTGCTAGATTTTGCATGCATGTTACCGTCGAACCGATTGAAGGCTCAGTCCTGCAATTCGAGAACCAAAATGTCGACAAAGGTAAAACTTGTTGGGCCAACCGCTCAATGGCCATAACTATTGGTGAGCTACGATGATGATAGCAGTCTGTTGCGACAGAATTCAGGAACTGCACGAGATGTGAGTCATGTAGGTCGTAGTTGGTCATGTAAGTTATAGTAGTGAAATAAGATGATGTCCGTAGGTCGCAGGAGCCGGATTCGGGAGCTACACAAGCTACGAGATACAAAGTCATAGTTGGTCACGTAGGTTGTAATCTTGGGTTGTAATGACGTCTATATGTCATAAGGGTTGGAGTTAGGTGATGCACGGGTTGTGATCCACATAAGTTGTAGTTGCTCACATATGTCACAACGACGAGTTGCGACGCCGTTCATAGGCTACATTTGTTGGAATCCATAGTTGCTCTACCTGTAAACTACTTAGGTTGTTGTCGGTCAGACAAGCTGTAGTGATGAGCTGTGATGACATTAGTAAGTAGAATGGGTTGGAATCAAGAACTGTACAAGCTGTGACCACATAGGTCGTAGTTGGTCATATTGACCGTAGTGAAGAGTTGTGATATCTTTCATAGTTCGCAAAGTTGTATGAGATGCGAGGCATGTAGGTCTTGGTTTGTCACATGAGTCTTTTGTGGTGAGTTGCAATGTCATTGTAGGGTTGCAGTTGTTGGAGTCGAGAGCTGCACGAGCTGCGAGTCATGTAGGCTATATAGCCTAAAGCGATGAGTTTTGATTGTATTTGTAGGTTGCAGGAACCAAAGTTGGGAGCTGCAGAAGCTGTGAGCCATGTAGTCATAGTTGGTCTTACAAGTTATAGTGGCGAGTTGTCCGGAGAAAATCACCATCCTCAAGGTAGATTATTTTAATGTCTTTGGGAACGTGTCATTGCACCGTATGTGTGGTGCGTTATTAGACCATCATTAGGGTGTGTCATTGTACTGTATCCGGGGGTGTGTTGTTACACTGTCTTTAATGTACGTTATTGCACATTGTATTGAACAACAAATTACTCCATTGGGTGTTTTATTATTCCACAATGTAGAATGTGAATTGTGACTCCTCGGGGGACTTCTCAGCAAAGAGAATATGCGATCAATGGTAGTCGATTGTAGAGAGTGGCCGACTATGATAAACGGTTGCATGAGTGAGAGGAATTTGTCAAATATTTGATGTAGAAACGATGTTAAGCTTCAACTCCTCCAAGCTCTGGTCTTCTTTTGAACTTTGATCTCAAATTCCTCTCAAAAGGGAGAATGACTTTATTTATGAAGTATAGATTTCAAATATGAAAGAAAACTATACCACTTTGATTTGACGACTCGAGGATGTTACTTCTATCAGATAGTGTTCATGGACATTTAAATGCCTCAATGATATCAAATTCAATGATATTGGCATTGCTGAATTTGTATTATCAAGACACTTGATTTGACTATAAACATGTCAAATTTAGAATCCGTTTGATTTTCTAATGATGCAATGAAAGCTTCTAAAAGTGGTTTAACGACTTGATTTGACCTTGATTTGACTTGAACTGGACCATCTTTGGTTTCATTGGGTCCGTCTCGTCTTCAAGATGAGCTCTAGTCAGAATTTGAATGTTTCTGGCTAAAAAAATGCATCAAGATTCATGTCATATCTCAATATTTGTGCTGAACGATGAAATTTGTTGCTGATATATCATATGTGTATGTGCCCCCATAAAACATATCTCAAAAAAAAAAAAAATCAGCAACTTAATTACTTTATTTTTATTTATCTATTAAAATAGAATCCAAATCATTTCAGTATTATTTTATAAATATATAATATATATATAT